AGTTTCGACAAAAAAACAAAAGTTAGCCCAGTGCAACACTTTGAATGGGCTTTCTGTGCGGGTTCACGTTCTTGTGATCGTGTGTGAATGCGAACACAAAGCACGGCCCTGGCCTTTGATATGTGTGGGAAGCATTATCCTGTAACTCTACCTTGACTAAAATCCCTTTTTTTCTCTCTGGAGCCTTCCTTGCACTGTTTGTCCTCACTCCCTCTCCTATACGTATCCATTTGGAACAGATTTGTTGAATGTACGATGAGCTCTATCGTGTATAGGAGGTAGTAAATATCCCAGCAGCTGTAGACCTGACGTTCAAATTCTTCAGCCGCCCGCTGCAGCTGCACAGCAACAGAAAGCCCGGCCTCACTGCTGCATGCTTTATTTACGATCTACCATGAAAAGCTCAGTGGCTGTGCTTAACACAACACTATTCTTATCTTGTACACGCATGGACACACACACACACACACACACACACACACACACACACACACACACACACACACACACACACACACACACACACACACACACACACACACACACACACACACACACACACACACACACACACACACACACACACACACACACACACACACACACACACACACACACACACACACACACACACACACACACACACACCACACAATAACACTGAGCATTCCTGCTTCCTCCATGGGCCCCCATCTCTACATGCCTTTATTTCTCTCTCACTCTACACTACAGCACTATAATAGCTGTTGGATTTTTAAAGCTATGACTTAGTTGCATGTTTAAAATATATTAGCTCTTGCTCTGTGACTGCAAGAGACACCACTTATTCTTTCTCTAAGTAATTGATGACTTGAATTGTCCGTCCCCATTCAGCATGTTATTACATGGTGTGGCTGTAATCTGACAGCGTGGAAGGTCACACTTAATGAAGCAAGCCTTGTATTGATCAGTTTTGGTAGATACAATGCAACAGTGTTGGCCTCCGCATTCATTCACCCTCCCTACACCAACTAATGTTTCCTCTCTTCCTCCCTCCTGTCATCCTACTGCCTCCTCTCTGCGGCAGGCTGAATTGTGGAGGTGGCAGACTGCCCCCATCGCAGCCCTCCCCTCCCCGTTTGTGAGGACATGGCTCATCTTCCTCTAGTCCTGAAGACAGCTTTTTAATAAAGCGGGTTTGAGCCTGGATTTAAGTGCTTTATTTTCATTTCGCTGTGCAGCCGGTTAAATAATGTGTGTGCTTCTCAAATATTTATGGAGGACTCAGAGCGACCGCTCTCTCACAGTTCTTCTCAGGGAGTGGACGATGGATTCTTCAAATGTCGCACTTATGAAGATTATGCGACACTGGTGTTTTTACGGGATGATCATATTAGGTTTTCTGTGGCAAATAAAAACGTTTTAAAGGTCTGGTGAAGTGAAAAGTTGGTTATGATTCAAGCCAGTACAGGGGAAGCATAGGTTAACTGACAATTGGGGATGAGGAATTTAGTGCATCATCTATCCATCTGTTTTTTAAAAAAAAGGTTTTCCTGGTCATGTTTCTAAAACTATGAGTAAAGAAGCACACATAATCTGCATTTGCAACTTTTTCCAAGTCTTGGGGCATATTCACCACAATCATTCGGTCCCAGAGTTCCGTCACGCTCTTGGAAATGCGTGTATGGTGCCTTCAACCTTGATTCAAAAGTCATCCTTTTATTCATCCATTAAGTAATAATACAACGCAAAAGTAACTGAAGCAGATTGAGCGTTCTCTTATTTGTATCCAGAAGAGAGCAATGGTTTCAGATTGCAGGTCCTGTTCAGAAAGACAACTGCACTGCATGAAAAAACACAGCCCCCTATTCATTTGCATGGTACTGCTGTGACTCAGCTGTGGTTTTATGAATGCAAACACAGTTCTTGTTCCACATGTAGAAGACACATGGGCTGCTCTAACTACTTTACAGGGGCCCCAGTCATTTGACTTACAAAACAAATTGAGAGTGGATGCAAATGTCAGTTATTTCTTCATTATCTGTGAAAAAGTGAAGTGTATCCTCTGTTCTGCACTTGGCTGCTTCATCAGTGCTTATAGGCTCGACAATTGTCAGGTGGTTGCATTGTTAAAATAAACATTTCCAGCTCATTGCCTATGATTTAAACATAGATGGTGTGCAAAAGATGGAATCAGTAACCAGAGCACAAACAAGCCATACTGTATTTATATGTGTATTTTCTGTTGTGTCCTTTTTTTTACCTTAATTCAATAATCTCTTAGCATATGTCATCCCTGTCTAACATCCATTCATCCATTCCATTTCCAATGACCAAGCATGTTATTGTACGGTTCCCCTAAGATAAAACATGCTAAACACCTTCTACTGAATTGCTAATAACAGTTTGAAGTGCTAAATGTCCTTCAAATGAAAACGGTGGTTTGGCTGTATAATGCCAGAGGAATAACTCATGTACATTATAGATGGTTTTCATTCTTTAAATATGTAATACTCAGCCCTGTTTCTCCTGTCAGCCTCAACACAATGTGTCGTGTCACCATCTACTCAGACTTTGTGTTGCGGTCTGTGGTGAATCCTGAAAGGGCCCTGCTCAATTAGCTCGCCCTATTTTTCACTTCAGAAACACACAGACTTACACAGAATCTTTCACAATATGATACAGCCATATAGAGGGGAGAGATAGCCAGTAAACAAGGCACCAGAACAAATGTGCCTCACTGTTATTTCCAAGAGTGAGGAAATAAATAGGGGACATGAGGTTTACTGCACCGTAAACTACAAGTAATCAACTAATATGTGTTGTCGAGCAAAATACCAATAACACACTTACTACCAGCATTTATTTCACAAATAGAAAACAAGGTTATAAATGATTAAAATAAGCTGTGTTATTTAATATGCAGATGAAAAGAAGCTCTTACATTTGAATATGCATATTTATTTTGCCTTTGATGTGGATCCATTTAAATAGAACGCTTGCTATAGTAATATACAATAGTATTTTTTGGCAATTAAACTGTGGTTCCTGTGGTATTACAAATGTCCAGAGGATATGAGGGGAAAAGGGTCTGCAGTTGTGTGTGCGTGTCTGCATGTGAAAGTATGAGTGCAGGCTCTGTGGCTGTGACCTCCGGGTCAACCTTCAGCTGGAGCGGTGCTGCATGGGCCACAGGAGCTGTCGGCTCTGGAACAGCCTGTTCCCCACAGCCAACTGGGTCAGGACCGCTGAGTCTCCCTCTCTGAGCTGAAACAACATGCACACCAATAGGCCGAGTTGACCCAATAGACACAGAGGTGTCATGATCGTGTTGTCCATTCAAGAATAAGGAAATTAAAGGAATCCCGGAATGGGGACAAATATCAATCCTTTTCTTTTTCTGATAAACGGAGAAAGAGAGTAAACATGGCTAACTGCAGGCCTGGGACATTGGCATTTCCAAAGAAGTTATGTTGACAGATGGGAGAGTTGTGACAGATTTTGGTTGGATAGTTAGGTTTGGGTGGGCATTGTGCTTACCATGAAAGAAGAGTTCAGATTCTAATTATTCAACAATTCATGTTGTGAGAAAAACCTCACAGATTGAGAACTCGCAACAATACACATTTATTTAACAAGATGGTAAAAAAAAGAAATCATGTCAATTGCTGTTTATTAACAAGGAATTCCTAACAACCAACACATTTATTAAAGATGTATTTTAGCTTTTGGGGAAATAACCACAAAGTGGAGCAAATAAGATAAATAACCATAATGTATTAATAATGATTTAACCGGTTAAACGCAAAGATTGATTTACTTCTGGGAAGAGTTGTACAATTCATTCTATGGCAAAGTGATGTCACCAGGGTTTTTTACATCGTCCTTTTTACACAAAGTCTGCGTTTCAAACAGTGGTCATGAGTTTTACAGATATGAACCTGCATCTTGAAGAGAATCGAAGGCGTTCTTTGCTCCTGATTGAACATGACTAGTTAAAACGTTTGAAGGGACTATTAGTTAAAAATAATGGGACCCTAAATTAAACATAAAGGCAAATAAGAGAATCCCTGCTCCATTAGCTTCTTAAGACATTAAATATGACTCAGGGTCAGATATAGCTACAGTGTGAGCATGTTATATTCCCTGTAGAAGCGTCCTATGAGATGGATACTACATTAGAGGGTTTGAGTCTGATGCATAGGAGCGTTGGGGAATGAATGTGTTCCAATCCAGTTTCCATATTTTGCTTTCTTTCTCTCTCTTTCCTTCTTCCTCTCTTCTCTCTCAAGTGTTCTGGCAGGAGTTTGAAAACTGTATATCAGATAATATGGATTTCCTCAGCTACTAGAGGCTTAAAGTTAAACTGACACATGTGTGCGGCACATATGCACACAGGAAGACAAAGACAGATGGTAAATAACTTGCTAAATGTAAAAAATAAGTAGGAGATTGTGTGTACTCTCTGTTTATTGGTTGCAGGCCCACGTAAAAATTACATGTATCTACGTCTCAATATGTGCTGGGATTTAAGAGCGCTGAGCGCATCTAGAATTGTAGCTCTGAGGCCAATTTTGCGGGGCATTTCAGAAAATGAAAAGAAAATTATACATACCCAGTGAGTGTTTTCATTCATCAGTTGTTTACATTGAGCAGACTGAGTAACGACACCTGGTCTGCTGCTTTATTAAATTATTATCCAGAGGGAGTCGAGGTGTGTGTGGGTGGTATAAAACGTTCTACCTCCATGAGTCAGCTTTCATGGTGAATACTGTTTTCAAACTACAGAACGCAGATTCCTATTCAGTCAAAGATTGTAGCGATGAATAGAAAGCAGAAGAGAATTATTATGAGTCACATCCATCTTTATTCAAGCTGCCAATGAAACGGTCACAAATCATCTGTGTGCATACAAATCACCTTTATCTCTGTTTAGCTTTTAATTTCCTGTATGACTCCACAGATTGTTATTGGACCTCCTTCACTATTTTTAAATGTGGCATTATCCTCCCATGTTGCAGATGGGGCTCCGCTGAGCGAGCTGTCGTGGCCTTCATCTCTGGCCGTGGTAGCTGTCTCCTTCTCTGGCCTCTTCACCTTCGTCTTCCTCATGCTGGCCTGCCTCTGCTGCAAGAAGGGCGACATTGGCTTCAAGGTGAGCTACCTGCTGCCCCCTGCTGGAGGTGGTGAGGAGAGCACAAACAGTGTGTGCACCATGGATCCTGCTCAGTGTTTACAATGAAAACAACTGGAAAAGGACTAACACGTTAAATGTATTAAATGTTTGGAATAATATTGACACACACTGTACAGACAGGGATCAAACATTTAAAAGCCATACATATTTAATTGCCATTCAACGCCATTTAAATCTGCCACCAAGTGAGAATGAGTTCGACACAAAGTATGGCCCTGAAGATCATTTTGGTTTTGTCTCCAACAATCAAAAACTCCAACATATTAAATATTTAGCTAGTCATTTGTTTCCCTATGTTCTGTTGTCTGATCAAAACAAATTTCAGTTATAAAATAAGTTGTATGAGTGCAAAATTAAAAACAGAAAATCAGAGAGTTGCTGTTTTTAACTGGGTATTTTAAAAGATGATAATTTCCTAATAAAAAAAGAAAAAGTTACGATAAACTGTAAGGGCTGCAACAGGCATTGTGGATTTACCTGCTAATAGTTTTTCTCAATCAGTTGTTTTGTCGATTAAAAAACAAAACAGTATATTTTTAAACCTGAAGAGGACCACTCTGTCAGTCCAAAATCCAAAGATACTCAGTATATTTTCAATCATTAAACATTTTGCGGTTTCATTGTACTGTTCAAATATTTTACGTGAGGACCAATTCTCTGGAGATGGCAGGATCATGTTCGTATTGAAACAACTCCAAAACCTTCATAACCGTAAATGCCAAAGGACCATTGCCTCATTGTATGCGAGTGGTGCAACCAAGTACCCATCCCATCCCAGGCTGGCACACTTTGTCTCTGTGTTGCATTCAGCTGCCATCATTAGTCAGCCATGCTGTGTCAAACATCAGTGCTGAGCGACTGATGAGGGTTAACTTAACAGAGACTGACACAGGCAGGGGGCGTATGGGGAGAGAAAGAGACAGAGACAGAGAGAGGAAACAACCTCGATTCGTTGTACTGCTCCTTGTCTTTACAAGTTTACTTCTGCTCACATTGTGGCATTAGCATTGAAACACATTTTTCATTTTGGTATTGCATTTTAATGTTTGTATCTTGTCTGGAGAATGGATACATTACAGCCTTGACTGAACAGCCTTCTGTGAAGATCACTTGTGCAAATGCTTCAGTAATTCATGAAAGGAATTGCGGTGCTTTTGTTAGAAGGAATGAAAGGTATATTTCTGTTGTTGTTGATTAGAGCTGCAGAGAGCAGAGGAGAGGAAAGGAGAGATGGTGAGAACAGAGCAGTTTGGTTCTGGAGGATATCAGGTCTGTGCATCGGCATTCAGGCTGTAGTATATTAATGCTGCAGTGATGACATGGAGACTGTGAAGTCCACTGAGACACATGTAACATTTGTGATATTGGGCTATATAAATAAACATTGATTGATTGAGACTAAAGAGCACAACACAGAGAGGAACCATTAACAACTTCCCGATTTTTCTCGTCTGTGTGTATCACGTGTGTCCACGTCTCTCTGTCATATGCCAGATTGCCTCTGCCTCATTATGTAAAGATGTGTTTTAATAACCTGCAGGAACAGTGCGAGTCTTGTTCTATGCCTGCTTACCTTTGGCCTGCTTTTTACTGAGAAATAAATAATGAAAAGGAGATGGCTCTAGCTGCAAAACAGCAATATCTAGCTGCTTAAACTGCAGTCATTCAACCAAAGCACCACCATGAGCCCGTTTAAAATATCAATGTGACACTATTGATTAGGGTATCGTGGGGTATCGTCTTACACTGAGAGTTCAGGGTGAAACTGTTGCTAAAACGGTGCTGGGCTTTGTATTTATCACACAGATATAGTTAAAGAGGTGAGTATAGTTTTGAAAAGCTATTTTAGAAAGGTTTCCTATTGCGAGGGCACTATTAAAATCATTAGACAAAGGATGGCAAACGCATTTCCTTTTTATCTGTTAGCCAACTATCTTTTCTTATTAAGTTTATGCAGCTGAACAAATAAATAGGTGCTTTTCATATGTGGTAACACAGGTGTAATCAATCAAATAACTGTGGTCCTGTTTCATTTCGATTAGCCACGGTCTTGGTATTGTGCATGCTCACTCACTGGAGTGGAGGCGACACACTAAATAGAATGGGACCATGATTAAATATATTAACTTCACCGGAGTCAAAATGGCTGCTGTTAGAAGTGCCTGTACTGTAGGTGGAGAACAACAGCAATCATTTGAGCGCAGTTAGTCCCTGTGTATTCACGTGAAGCTTGACTGAGAGGGGACTATCTCATTCGTAACATAATAGTTGCTGTGTTAAACATTTGAGAAAAAGACAATGAAAGGATAACATTCACAAGGAAACACATTGTAACTGATGCTAACAATACATCTTCTGTCAGATGAGCACAACTTTCAGATCTCAGTCAATTAAAGTGTCAAATATTCATATTTAAATGGATTAAGCAAATATGGTAGAAACCACAAGTTGTGATTTGTGTAAACACAACATATGCTTGTTGTTTTGATCATAGCTTATATAATACTTCCAGACAAAACAGACAATCAAATCTCCATCTTGCGCTCTAAGTTTGGCAGCAAACATCACATTTTGCTTCCTTTCTTTTTGGCATCCGCTTGTCACTCAACATCTCACTTGTATAGTGTGCATTCATGTGGGACTGCAAAACTGCACCACTGCGCTGTCCAAAAAGCTTCATTATTCCTCTCCATCACGGTGCTCTTACTATGGAGCGCGTAGTGTGAGGCTGGGTATTAAGTGCTTTCTAAACTGAAGGCTCTCTGGGGAGCTATGCAATGCTGACTCACAGCCAGGTGCTCGCTTTCACACTTTGCTCTGAGGAGAGTGGCAGATGGTTCTCTTGAAACACACAAACAAACACACACACACACACACGCACACACACACACACACACACACACACACACACACACACACACACACACACACACACACACACGCACACACTCACACACTTGTGAACACCTGTACATATAAATATACACACACACCCACACAAGGAGCCATTCAAATATGTTATGTATTCCATCCAGCTACCCACATTTTACAGAACTGTTTACTTCTTTGTTTAACTCTGTGGGTACTGCAAGTGGGAGATAGGCTTGTTGTGGGTAACAGTTCATTAATAACCAACGGACGGATTGTGAACAGAGCACTTTTACCAGACTTGTCCCCCAGCATAGCCAAGTAGGTTGACCTGAAAGATGTGGGGGTTTGTCTTCAACTTTCTATTAGAAATGCAAATAGATTTTTAAAACGTTTGTGGTTCAATTGTTTGTATCCATCATTTGATCCTCTGTGCCCATCTATTCAAAACACATCTCTAATATATTTACTATATAGATGTGTGGGCCATATTTAGTGCATATCTGACGTTATAATGTTGGACAGTGGTAGCAAATTAAATCTGCCCAATGCAGAATCTTTGGTTGTTGTTTCTGCAGATACACATAAGAAAAAACCCAGAGAAACTGGCATCTCAATGAACACATTTCAATCCAGCTCACAGCCCAGTGACAGGAGTTAATTAAACTTCAAGGATTTGGGTTTACCCTGTAACCAGCGCATCTGCTGAACAAAAGTTCCTCTCTTATTAAAAGTTAAACATGTAAGACTCTTAAGGTCTCATATGAGCTCATGAAATAGTTTACTCATTCACCCGCAATAATCTACATGGTAATCTACTTCATGCTGCAGATTATGCTATTTGTATTGTGTACTGTTTAAATACGAATTCCATCCTTTCGTGTGTGCCTTTCAATATTCTGCCTTTTTGTTGGATCTATGTTAAAAGCACTAACTAATAGCCACTTTGGTTAGTGGGACAGATCATTTTTTTGAGCTACATGTAGAGGAAGAAAAAAAGAAACAACATCAAGCGCTATGCAAAATGTTTTTAAAGATGTATTTGTTATCAATGTGCAAAGTATCAAATACGTCTCCATCTTACAATCTGGTGTGTTAGCACTGTTAATATGTACTCTATGGCCGTTTCTGTTGTGACATGTTACAACAGTTAGCAAGCACAAATGTATGAATTCATGTTTTTTCACTAAGAACATTTGAAGTGTATAACCTTTTTTAGGTTTAAAGTTTTTACGACTCAGTTTGACATTCTTTAATGATATAAACCTTGCTTTGTGTAGGTGATTGAATGGAAGGAAGAAATAAAAGACAGAACGAAAAAAAGACGTTCTTTGTGCATGCAGTCTAAACACGCACATTAGTGTGTTCCCCCTACAGCGTCTTTGTTGTGACCCACACAATACACCCCACAACCTACATGACTTATGCATATAGCTTGGTGGGCGAGCCCCAGTGCATTTGAATGCCCTTACAGTTGAGCCATTGTCTCCCACCATGTAGGATGGCTGCGAGTGGATGACTAATTTCAGCATGTGTCTTTGCAACAGGAGTTTGAAAACACTGAGGGAGAGGAGTACCAGGCAGATCTCTCCCTGGCTTCGCCTTCCTCCCAGAATGGCCCCGAGGTCTACATCCTTCCCCTCACCGAGGTCTCCCTGCCTGTCTCCAAACAGCCTGGCAGATCCAGTAAGAAGCTGCACAACACTATCAACTCATACCACCTTTAAGTTATATCTGCTCGCTCTTTTAATGACCTGATTTACTGTTCAGCTTTTGCTACCTGCAATGCGTATATCATTATTCCTTCTTAGCTCTTTGGAAACAGCTGCCACACTAACAGGCCATTAAAACAGCTTGTTACTTCTCTACAGCATGACACAAAACTAGGAACCTTTTGTCTACCTGACTGTAGCTGGAACAGACATGGCCTCTTTAATGAAGTACGTTGGATTATATCTCTTCTTTCTTCTTGCCCTCTCTCAACGAGGGACAGACATCGGCCCATTTTAAAATGCATTTAGAAATCAGTGTATGAGAAACTGGAGAGGAAGGAATCGGACTTTACCTCGGTGTACATTATGCCAGTGCATGCTACTGTACATTTCATTTACATGTAACACTGTTTTACTTGAATCTTACATAATCTTATGTCAGCACATGTTATTTTGGTGTGTTTATTTCTACATCCATCCTCAGCCTCATGTCACAGCCTTTTTTTTCTTTTCTGCAGGTCATTCTGTCTGAAACCCAGCCTGTTAAAATGTGTATGCATGTACATTGCGTGTGAATCTCAGTATTAGCCAGATCCTGGGTGTCTCTCCTTGCATGACTCACTGGCTGTCTGAGCTGCGCCGTGCCTAGCCAGAAGGGAGGTGAGTTGGGGCTCAGCATCCCAGAATGTAAGCCTCAGCAATGATTGGACAAGGCAGCCTTAGGCGTGCAGCCAATCACCAGCCTTTGCTCCATCCTCCATAGCTACCGCTGTACGATTGGAGCAGGTGTTGCAGGGCGAGGAATGGATAGACAGCAAAGGAGACGAGATGTAAAACGAGGGATAATGTTTCCTTTCACTGAGTCACAGAGAAGGGGCTCTTACTCATTCCCTTCCTTATGTACATACAGAAAAAATGGTATTATTTTTATTTGACACTTTTACATATTGACCACTGAAAGTTTGATGAATTTAGAATTTTAACAGCATTCCAATTCCTTAACTTTTTCAAAATGGTCATAATCGTAATAAACAATTGAGAGGATTGTAGGAATGATATCACACTTCAAAAGTATTACACATAGAGCTGCAGGTCAAAAACTGAGCAGGCTTAGATTGATAATAACGTCATGCACATGTTTAAATGATCAACCCCCACAGTGATATACACGAAGCAAATGAGACTAGTAATGGCCTCTTTAACAGAAACACAAGTTATATGGTTTATACTCTCACCATGAATAGCGTATTCTATATCACTTCTACATCTGTATGAACACACATTACAATGTTTGCCATTGATCGGACAGTCTCGCGTTTAACTTGTTGGTCTAATCTTTTATTCAAGAGGTCGTGTAAAGCCTTCAAACCCACGACAGAGGCTCGATGCATCGAGTGTGTGCAAGCGGTTGTGTGTGTATCATTCCACGGGCCCACTGATCCCACAGTCTCACTGGACCCCAGCCTCTTCTCTGGGAATGCCATGAGGAGGACGGGAATGCACACTCACGCTCACACATTCCACATTCGGAATAATTTCACTCTCTAACTTCTCTGATAGGGAGGGCTGGTGGAGAAGTGTGGGTCTGTTATCACCGTGACAACCTCTGCCCAACGTTCTCGTGGAGAATGGGCCTTGTGTGTGTCTGCTCATGAGCGTGTGTGTGTGTGTGTGTTGTGTCCACTGGGTACCAGGAGACGCTGCATGAGTGTGTGAGTGAGCGAGCCGAACAATGGCCCCGATTTAGGCCGGCTGGGCAGTGGGTGAGCATAAGGCTGGGCTGAAATGTCCGTGGAACGCACCAGTGGAGGACTGGCATTATGGGCAGAATACAGTGAGGGGTCTGTGACAGAATGAGGAGAGACAGGGGAAGGGTGGTGGCATGCACCAGGACGCTAAGAGTGGGGAGGGGACGCTTGAGATAGGGGTGGCGAGTGTGTATGACAGAGGTCTTTTCTGCATCTGACAGAGCAGGGTTTGTGTCCTGTTTGGCTGAGGAATGCTGCTGTCCTGGGTGACAGGGGGGCATTATGTTGGCCTTATGTCCCTACCAGGGTTCTTGAAGCTGCACGCAGAGCTGGCGCATCAGTCTGCACGCTACCAACATGCGTGACGGTCACACCAGCCGTGATACTTGACCAGAGTCTCAGAGAAATATAGCCCCCAGGGCAGAAATCCTCCTGCGGGGAACAGGTGGCACATTGGTCGGCTGACTCCAAGCTGTTTCTATCTCGCTACGATTACTGTATATTGAAGGGAAGTCTGGAAACCAAGGATTTCAGTGTTTGCTCGACAGCTGGAGAGCTCCAGAGGAGGACAGTATGTGTGTTTTTGTGTGTCCCAGTTGGGGGATGAGCTCGGGACAGACTGGGAGAGGCAGCGTGGCGAGCTTGTTCAGCTGTGGGAGGGCTCGGAGGGTTAAATCCTGCCGAGACTCTCTCACACACACACTGAGATCGTGGGGTCTTTCTAAAATACACACAATGAGACCAAGAAGCCTGGGGTTAGGGCTGGGGCCACGGGCTCTCGGTTCTCACACTCTGAACCAGTACTTTAACCTGCATGGGAGCCGGACTCAGTCCCTGTCACGGTGCTCGGAGTGGCTGGCCGCTCCACTGCTCCGCCACCATCTTTTCTCTCCACACAATCATCTACCTTCTTAAATAATGAAGATCCATGGAGGTATTTGAATTTCATGCACAAATTGTCGACTTCTTCTTGTTATGGCTTATTCTCCTGTTTAGGTGATGGCACTTTTTATTTAGGAAAATGTGTGTTTATTATCTGGCTGAGAGGAGTTTCTATTTATTCTGATCTCTGTCAGTGTTGTTTCCCTGTCCTGTCCATTTCTGTTCAAATCATAAACTTCTATTTTTCTTTTGTGACTTAGATTATTGTAAACCTTTGCTTTTTCTTTATCACTTCTTAATCACTACAACAGTGTCTTTTTTGAGTAATCCTATGTCTTTCTTACTGTTCCTTTACAGTCCAGCTGCTGAAATCATCAGACCTCGGCCGCCATAGTCTACTCTATCTAAAGGAGATTGGACATGGCTGGTTTGGCAAGGTAAACAGGATTACTCCCCCCCTAAACATACACACAATCACAAAGTGGACTCGGGTGCAGAAAAGACACCTTGTGTTTGTTAGTAGTTGTTTTAATTGTTTGAATTGCCTCTTTGTTACTGTATTCACTGTACTTTAATGTGCTTTCTACTCATTGAAGAATGCGAGGGTAATGTGAGGATGATCTCATTCTAGCGAAGCTAATCTTTGGCACTTGAGTTAGAGAGAGAAGCTGAAACTCACAGTCACAGTAAATTCCAGACATATTGTTTTATAGTAAATGGGGCTGTAACACTACTTATATATTGCTCATGCACTATTTTCATTCTGCTTGTTTGTTTGTTTCTCTAACACTATAAATGCATGTTGATTCTGTTTGTCGTAAACCCTGGTACTTAGGTTCTGTTAGGTGAGGTCAATGCGGGCCTTAGCACCACCCAGGTGGTGGTGAAGGAGCTGAAGGCCAGTGCCAGTGTCCAGGATCAGATGCAGTTCCTGGAGGAGGTGCAGCCATACCGGTCAGTTCACCTAAAATCACAGCCCTTCAGTTTAATGAGTAGCACCATGGAGCATTAAGAAGTAACTGAGTGATTGTTTTATTTATGTATGTACAGTCTGTGTAAATGTATAACCTCTCATATTATATTTCCTCTGCCAGAACCCTCCAGCACCCGGCCCTCCTGCAGTGCCTGGCTCAGTGCTCAGAGGTCACTCCTTATCTGCTGGTCATGGAGTTCTGCCCTCTGGTGGGACATTTTTAAATATATACAATGTGTTTATTCAGTTAGTTCTGCAAGCGTCATTACTTTCTTTCTAGGTTCATTGTTGTTTAATGTATCCTCATTTCCTTTCTCCCCTTAGGGTGATCTGAAGAGCTACCTTCGCAGTTGTCGGGTGGCTGACTCTGAGACTCCTGACCCTTTGATCCTCCAGCGACTGGCATGTGACATTGCCTCGGGGCTTCTGCAACTCCACAAATACAACTTCATACACAGGTGCGGTTTGCCAGTCACTCCAGCTCTATTTACCTCCATCGCCCTGTTTGTTTCTGCTCAAGAAAGAAAACTGAATGCACTGTGTGCCCCCTGCTGGCCTCTCCCTGCAACAACATCCTGGTGCTGCCTGAGTAATTGTCACAAACTCCAGCATCAGTGATTTTGTTGCCGGGGGCGAGCCCCTGTCGCTCTCTCTCAGCAGCCATGTGGTGGCTGCCATAGCAACCCGTCAGGGGCTGCCAGCCAAAAGAGCTCAATGTGTGTGGAGGAGGTGAGATTAAACAAAGTGTCTTAGTTTTGCGTTTATATGCTCAGATTATAAGAAACATTACATGACACTTCACATGTACATCTTTCATGATATCATACAGATAATGCTGTGGCTAAAAATGGTTATCATATTGAGTGACATTGTGAATACAATATGTTTTAACAAACAATTATAACAAAGTATCACTAAAAACATTACCATAATACACCAACTTGGGTGTAACATTGGTAAAAACTGAAAAATAGTATTCATAACACTTCCAGCAATAATTAGTTACTGTATAGGCCCCTGTATCTTGAAGTATTTGTTGGTATTGTGACATTCAATGTTTATGAATACATTTGGTTTGGTTTCATTTTATTGACAGTACCCTGTCCTCCATGCTTACCTTTTCTAAACCAGTGTGTATGTCAGAGAAAAAAAAGAAGAAATTGAAAATAAACATAAAACTGTTCTAACTTTAGCAGATATAGAGGGATCAGGGACTTTTAAAGAAGATACATAAAAACGGGTTTGTTGATGCAGCTCAGATGTACTGTTTTACAGTTTTCCCGAACACCATTTTAAAAAAAAATTATTCAGTTTATCAGAACATTAAACACAATTCACAAAACCACACACCCAAAGTGCAAAACACCTCATTTCTCCTGCTAAATGAAGAACTGCACTCAAAACTATAAACACTTACCAAATGCAAACTTTTGCACCAAATATAACACGCTTCATTCATAATACTAGATTGTTTGACCACCCAGCTACACACAGCTGAGCATACTCTAAAGCACTTCCATCTGTTCTGGGCTATGCTCTGTACATAGAGGTTTCTGCAGAGAAAGTTTGCTTGAGTTTACAGAAATACAGTAAATGAAGAAATACAGATGAGTTGTTGAAAAAAATCACATTTTATTCAAAGATAACATTGTGCAACATGCATCTCAGCACATAGTTACTATGCTTCGGATCTCTCTAAGTGTGATGCATTGTTTGCCAAAACCCAGTTTGTAACTGCTGCTTCCTGTTATAGTATGCAACATGCCAACAATTCAATTACAGTAATGAAGTAAATACGTTTCACACAACAGATATAAGCACTGATATATCATGAATTATGCAGAGCTACAAACTGGTAACTAACCTGTTTTCAAGTCTAAGTGTCCGGATTACAGAGGCGACAGTACATCGGCTTAGATGAGGCTGAACCCTCTGTCCAGCCTCTCTCATCGTCAAACCATGGTTGATAACATTTCATTAGAGAGTATTCTTCTTTGTCCACGTCCTCTCCCTCCAGCTCTACCTCTACCTCTCATTCTTCCTCCTCTCACTCTCACCCACCTCTTCCTCCTCCTCTCACTCTCAGCCCAGCTCTTCCTTTTCCTCTTGCTTCCATGTTGGCTTCCATTGTTGCTGTAAGAAAGTCTTTTTATAGTGCTAACATCCTGATTGATGAGCCAACAATTATGCTATGAGGTGTTTGATCAGGTGGAACGTGTTTCTTGATCATTGGTCCATGTGTGAGGCATTTTGAATATCAGTGTTTTAAACCAGCTAACACGTGACTTTATGTCAGACTCCTGTGTCTTACGTGGAGAAACGTGTGCAGTGGTTTGCAAAAAGTGCCATGTTGATTTGCAAATTGTGTGAAAAGCTGAAAACGTGTTAAAATAATTGTGCTTTATGTATAATGTTAGTGTGTTAGCAATCGAGAAAAACTGTAAATGACATGTCCCTTTGTTTTGACAGTGACCTGGCCTTGCGAAACTGCCTGCTAACTTCAGAAATGTCAGTTAAGATTGGAGACTATGGCCTTTCTCATAGCAGATACAAGGTCAGACTGCTTTAATGTAATATTTATTGAGTGCTTTCTTTTCTTATTGATCACCCTATCGTTACTCAAACATGGTTTTTCCTTGTTGCTCTATAGGATGATTATTATGTAACCCAGGACCAGATTTGGGTGCCCCTGCGCTGGATTGCACCTGAGCTCATAGACGAAGTCCACGGAAACCTGCTGGTCGTTGACCAAACAAAATCCAGTAACATATGGTGAGATATTTAAAGAGTGACTACCTGGAAACATTTATGTTTAATGAGATAACACTACCCCACCTACCTCACCTTTCTCACAATATACACATTTAAGATATTATAAGATACTACATATAAGATATCTTTCCTTGTGTATTATTAAAATGGGAACTGCTTGAATGTTTCTCAGGATGCTTAGTGTTTTGTTTTGATCTACTCTGGTTTTTATTATGGAACTATTGTATGTCTACTACACAAATATAAACTTGTGTAGGTTAAAGATTGTCCATGTTTATGAGTGGTGAATACATATTTATTTCCCCATTCCAGGTCATTGGGGGTGACTGTGTGGGAGCTGTTTGAGCTGGGAAACCAGCCGTACAGACACTACTCTGACAGACAGGTGCTGACATATGCTGTGAAGGAACAGCAGCTCAAACTACCCAAGCCTTTGCTCCAATTCCCCCTGGATGAGCGCTGGTGAGACAGAGCTGCATGCATTGCACACACATTTGGAGAAAACATACTATACATGTACAGGCTCACTCTCAAACTGTCATTTATCTTGATACCACATATATTACCAAGCCTTTAGGCTGACCAATTATTTTCTAACAAGTCAGTGTGTCTTGTTTTTAAAATTGGTTTGTGCTTATGGTGCTGCACCAGCAATATTTCTCTGTGCTAGTGAGGGCAGATGATCAATACTTTCCCTATTCTTTATGATCCCCTTTGGCATTGGCCAGGGTAGATTCATTCATCTTCACCTGGGACGCCAGCCAAATGTTTTATTTTTTTTTTTTTTGCAAATTGTTCTTCACTTAATTAAATGTGCTCAACTGAGTAGCCAAACAACCACACACATACACACAATGCTTACTCCAATGGTTTTCTTTTATATTGCCTTGTTAGTCTAAAAAACATTTTAAGTTTTGCTTATTTGCTAATTATGTAAAAACCATTAATAAGTTCTTCTGTGCCAACAGATATGCAGATGTAAGGACAATTATAACTGATCATTTGTGGCTCTTTCTGTCAAGGTATGAGGTGATGCAGTTCTGCTGGCTACAGCCAGAGCTGAGGCCCAGCAGTGAGGAAGTCCACCTTCTGGTCACATACCTGTGTGCCAAAGGCTCCAGTGAGGCTGAGGAAGACTTTGAACAGCGTTGGAACACATTAAGACCCAATCTACTCGGCAGCACCTCCCATACAGTAACATCCACAGCCCTAGTCCTGACCCCTACCCCCCCCTCGGCTGACGTCCCCAGTCCAGAACAAACTCAAGCAATGGAGCTGGCCTCCTCTGCTTCGTCCTCCTTCCCCCTCCTGGAGCACTTCTCTGACAGTTTCCACTCTGACACAGGGGACGACCTGCTGACCGTCACAGAGACCAGCCATGGTTTGAACTTTGAGTACAAGTGGGAGCAGGCTCGAGCAGAGCAGCCCTACTGCTCCTCCTCCACCAGTGGCCCACTCGGCCAGGGAAACCCATATTACCAAGATATCTACTATTCAAGTAAAGGAAGCACCTCAGAGGGCTGTAAGAGTGAGAGCCTGACCTCAGGCTTATCCCCATCCTATTATGAACCTGAACACCCTGGTGTGGTCCCAGTGTTGAGTGCACACAGCCCCTCTGTCAGCAGCGAGTACTACATTCGCATAGAGGAACCTGTAGAGTGTAACATTAACCTGGATGATGATAGCATTGTGGACTACAGCCCAGAACTGGCGGCCAGCAGCAGAAGGTTGTCCTCCGAGAGCAGGACTGGTTCATCCATGGCGCAGCCCAGTGCTTACTGGTCAACTGACAACAACAAATCTTCTGCCTGTGACTCTGATTCAAGCCCCACTGTCCAACTCACCATGGAGCCTCTGCTGAGGCAGTCATCCAGCACCAGCCATGTAAAGCTAGGCAACTTGCACAACTGCTTCTCATCCAGCCAGGACGACACAGGCTTCTGTGAAGAGTCATCAGCATACAAGGCACGCCAGCCCTGTCTGTCTGAACTTGAAACATCGCCAAAGCCCAGATCAAACTTTCTTCAGCCAGAGGGGCGCTTAGATAACCCACGCAGTTTGTCACAAGCTGTCAGCAGCCCCAGCTTAGGGTTCTGCGATCCCTACCTTGAAGCGAGCACAGGTCGGAGCACCGTCAATGAAAGCTGCCATAACATGATGGGTCCCCTCAGAAAGACACTACCCATTGTGAACCACATTAGCATCGATGTAGGGACTGACGACGGCCTGCTGGTGGGCCAGCATAGAAGCGACGACATTGAGGATGACCTTTTTTCTGAAGGAGAGGCCACCAACTGGACATCAAATCATTCAGCAAACAATAATAGCCTGAGCTTTGACGTCAGGCAGACAGGCAGTGGGCAAGACAGCTATCTTGACCTTCAATATGCTGGTCACCCTAACACTACAGAATCATGGTCTTTAACCAAGGCCACCACCAGAACCTTCCACAGCTCCATAGCTTGTGGCACCTTGGAGGAAAGAGGAGACTCTGGTTGTAACGCTGCTAGCAAGTCCACGGAATTAGGTTCATACATTCACTTATGGCACAAAGAAAGAGACGAAGCTGTCACTCAAGCGGAAAGGAACTCAACTGCAGAAAATCTGAGAAGTATTGATTCTTTTAACAGCTCAAGTATTAATGTCAGAGGTACAGAGGGTGGAACAATGGAGGGGAAATATGAAAAGCAACTGTTGCATAATGGGGAGAGACAGTACTCTGAGCCTAGGATGATCCCTGAGCCATGTTTTATAAAGTCTCCATCCACGTTCAAAGAGCCACAGAATGGTCAAACAGCAGCTTTTTCAGACAAGCAGAGAGGTACCACGTGGGAGGGGGTTTCAACAGGAATCTCTGTTGGTCTAGTAGACAAGAGGCTAAACTATCCAGAGACATTGGAAAGTAGCGGAGCGTTGGACAGTGGAGTGGTGGTCGTCAGAGACTCCAGTTTTAACTTGGTTGAGCTTGGTGACTACAGTGAAGATGACGATGATGACATCACAGATATTACCTCGGGGATCTTTGCTGACTTCAACCTTGATTATATTGAAGTAGAGGAGGAAGAGCTAAGCCCAATGAAGCATTTAGAGGGAACTCCTGACTCTGCAGACACACTTAACCTCTCCTCGTCGATGGTAAGCTCCTGTGATCAGTCCTTCAGCCCCGATCCCTTCAATACCCCTGTCCTACCCAAATCCCTAGACAGCGGCTATGACACGGAAAACAACGAATCTCCAGAGTTTTTCTTCAAAGAGCTTGGAGATCCCCATGGGGTTGAGAGAGGTGGTGAACCTGAACTTGTTCTGCAGGTTGGTTTGGGTCAAGGGGTCTGCACTTCCAAAAGCACCTCAGAGCTACAGTTTAAGGGCCTGACTGATAAGAACCCATACAGGGACTCAGCCTATTTCTCTGACTATGATGCTGAAAATGAGAGGAGCCCTCAAGAGGAAGGCAGTAAGTTCTTTGCAAGTCCGAAAAACTGTGACTTTCACACTGAGAAATTGAGCTCCATAAGAGGTGATGATTTTGTCAAAAGGCAATTTAACCAGGACAATTTGACAAACCTAAAACACATCAGGCATTGTGCGCTGGTGAATCTCTCCGAGGGGAAAGCTACTTCACTTCATCCCCTCCCTACCCCTGGTGTGTCAATGCTGTCACCCTATCCTCCTCAGATGGGCGGTTGCCTGACGAAAGAGTCTGCCCCTGCCGAGGAGGACCTCGGGTTGCATACGGAACACTCAGAAGACCCTTCCTCAGAGCTTAACTACTCCATCGCGTCTGAAGCCTCTTCTAATGTCCAAGAGGCCTCGGGACACCATGAGGAGGGGAACAGAAGAGCAGAAGATTGTTCCCCTCTTCAGTCTTTGCTTTCTGACTCCACTTTATCTGACTATAGAGATGAGGCCCACAAAGAAAATGAAAACGGTGATGGATCCACAGAGGAAGAGCTGCCTGAATTCAACCATGTCAAGGAAGAGACGGAGGACAGAAGGGAGGGTGTGAGGATAAATGAGGACGATTTTGAGGACATAGACACAGGGGAATGTGACTCACAGGACAGCTTATGTGAAGAATCCAACGGCCCTGTCGACCTGTCCACTTCCTCGTCATTGTTGGAGTTGTGCGGAGAAGATGTGAGGGCTCCGCTGGAGGAGGCAGAGGATGACTCGGATGACAGTGAGTCTGATGAAGAGTTGAGGACCTATAACATCCAAGATGAAGACAGTGAGGAGAGTGATGATGATTTCAGCACAGTGCCAGTAGTAATAAGCGACTGCAGCAGGGCGCAACACCTCCGCAGCCCTCCTGAAAATGCCCCGGCCTGCTCACTCAGTCCTTCTGTGACGAGTTGGAGGGGAAGAAAAAAGCTGTGTCCTTTTTTGACGATGTCACAGTGTTCCTTTTTGACCAGGTATGTCACTTTAAATCGTGCAATGTGTACTGTCTGTTTAACAATTACTTTATTGCATTAGAGTCCGTAAGGAATATGTTTTGTTTATTAATTCCAGGAAAGCCCCACGGGAGAGCTGGTTGACTTCGCCTTCTCTACAGACACGGAGACCAGTGCACAGGAATCTTTAGAGGAAAAAAACAATGATTCCCAACAGCAACTCAACCCTGGACTTGAAGCTCAATCCTGTGAATCATTCTGTGTTTCTGAAGAAACAGATGGGAACAACTCCGAAGAGGGTGAGTTTGTAAAGGACAGTCATTCCGGTCGTATCATCATACATTCACTATAACTTTAACAGTTTCTGTGTGCTTTTAGGTGGGGGATATGAATGGGAAGATGACCTCTTGTTGGAGCCCCGCCCGTCCTCACCTGAGACCCTCCCTGAACCCAAGTCTTCACCCACATGCACCTCCAACAGTCCTGAGGCTCCTAAACCTGCAGCTGTAGCACTTAACCGTTTTATGGTCTCACGATTCTCCATCACACATGTCTCGGACCCCCACATGGGCTCAGTAACAGGTCTGTATCAACTTTCCTTCATACATAATCTAGACTTATTTATAATAGTTATTTAATTTCCACTGAAATACAATCACTTATTTCTTATATCTAAAATGTTCAGGTACCCAAAAGTCGAATTTACATGACATTTTTATTTTTTTGCTACAACACAAATATCTGCTCTTTAAATTGTCTGTTCGCCCTTCAAGAAAATCGAAAAGAGAGATATTTTAGTTTACTTTTTTAGCTTCATAGTTGGAGTAAATTCTGCACATTATGTCTTACCAAAACGTATTGCTTAAAATAAAATTCCAGTATGATTGAATGTGGCTGGTAAGAAGTGCTGTCCTTTATTTTTGTGTGAGTTCTTTACATTGCTTTGGTAAACACACATCATAATGAACTCTGTATAATCAGCATGTTTTGGTCAATATTTGAGAGTTAGCAATATACTGAATCCACAGATGGTGAGGGCTGTACAAACACCATTTTAGTCTAGTTGTCTCTAAAACAAATGATCTTGGTGGGGGATATGGCTTCTTATGTTTTTGAAAAAGAATTTGAGTATCACTTGGTTTGACTTTAATCCAAAGCCAACATACTTATTTTCTTTATTTTTGTCCTACAGGGAACATTGAAGATAGCCCAACACATTGAGGGCCCCATCATCTTGACGGGAGGAGGACGAGTCCTTCTCAACGCGGAAAAGCAGTTATATTTAGATGTTTTACAGAGTTTTATTTTTGATCAACGTTTGGGGCATCTGGCTCTGGTGCCCCGTTATGAGACAGTGCCTCATATTGTAGTGAAAGACCCTCAGTTATTTGCACCTTTTAGTTTTTTAATTTGTGGAAAAAGTGAGACAAAGTGGATACAAAGTCAGATCATATTGTTTGAAGAAAGATTAATCATCAATATACTTCTTTATCATATAGTATATGACAAAAACATATTTGCTTGATGCAGCATCGTTTTTTGTTGGTAACCTTACAGTAAAGGTAAATTACATTTAAAATAAAAAAATACACAGGGAGAAAAAATGAATTGAAAGGCTTATATCTGCTCCTCTCATTGGCTGCCTTCTTCTATCTGCTTACCATTGATCCAGATGTTTTAAAGACTGTTACAGCTCTCATTGTTAGAGCTAGAGAACACTGCTGGATGATTGTTGCATAACAAGCGATAGTTGATATCCAAACAGAAGATCAGACGTTTTAGGAGTGGGTGGTGGTGTGAAGTGCTGAAACTTAATTTATCCCTTAATCCAAGTCATATCCTTATCATATTGACGGGGGATTCAGTGCGTTATGTTAATAGAAATATAAAGAAAGAAATGAAGGTGATGTCATTCCCTTATTATCACCATCACTTATTCTGGTAATGATAACCTACAGTATTATGTCTACAGTGACCATATCTGTCTGAAGTACTTTCATATATTTGTAGAAGTGATGGCTCTGTCTTCATCTCCCCAACCTTGAATGAAATATCTAAACCTGTGAGGTTTTCTTATGTGTGTCCACAGTGCCAGCTATAGATTCACTTTATTTTTGTTGCATATTAGCCGTTTATATGACATGCCATCAGCAATAGAAGGACACCAAAGGGAAGGGTGTTTTAACACAATTTAGCGGTGTCATGCTAATATGCCAGTCATAAATGTTGAATGTCATCTTTATGCATATTTTCTACATCTACGTATTGTCATACGTAATCTATTCTATTACATTTGTGCTGAGTGCCAGAGTCTGGGGTATACAAAAAAAAGGACATTCAAAATATGACAAATCTCACATATTGTATGAATGTTTTATCAATATATAGAAGGTAGCTTGGCTTGAATTACTACTGCTGTATCGACAGCTCCCTCCCTCCCCCTCTCTATTGTGCTGTAGCTCAAAGTGCCAATTCCGTTTCCCCTCACTTTGCCTTTTAAGTTTCGCAAAAGAGAAAATGCAGCCAGTATTTTTGTACAATTTCAAAAGATGCAATCCAGGATATCCATCTCTAAAATTTGCCAAAGAGATATTACCGAGCCTATTGGCTAAAGTGGCAGACACCTTTGGAGAAGGTGAGGTGGGTTGCTCTATGCACCAGTAGTAACATCATTGCTGTTCCACCCCCCCACCCCTCACTCATCGCTACTGTACTATCCCAAACAAATAAATCCAAATACTTTTTCCCTTCTTGTTTCCGTGATATTTGTATCTGCATTTATGTCAAAGAACAAAACAAGAAGACATCAAAACATGACACAACACATACAAATATGACGTTTCTGCCCATTTAGATTTATTTTGGACAAGATAATTTATATGCACTTTCTGTACAGTACAGATATAATACAAACAGGGACAAAAGTAAGAAATGAAAACAATGAAAGCTATATAAAAAGTTTTTAAAAAAATGCATTTGAAACTTGCTGCCCAACTAAGCTGTTAATAAAAGCTGATCATATCCCTCAGTGTAAGTCATCCATGGAAAATGTACTTTTGATGATGTAAATGTTTGCAATGTCTGAGGCATTTTAGCTCACTCAAGTATTCATGAACATTATTGCCTTTCCAGTAAATCCAGTTCCATTCCTTTGCCCAAAGATCATACTGTGGATACATCTCTGCTCTAAGCTTTTCTCCCAGATGAGTGTATAATACTGAGAATGAACAATCAAAAGCTACAATAATACTGTACCTTAAGCTACCACTCCCTCAAAGCTAAATATAAAAAAAGACCCATTATGTATGCACTGGCTATCCGGCAGCTTCGATATTAGTACATTTCTAAAGAGAAGGGAAGAAATAGCAAAGCTGACAATAAAAGCAAAAAAAGGAAGATAATCCTGTTTATATTTTAAAGAATATATGAAAAACACATGTTTAACTGTAATACAAATCATTGTATATAACGATAGTTAATGCTGCATGAAGCATATGTTAAAAGAAATTATAGAAGGCACAGTTCCCACATTGAACATATGGGTTTACTGTATCACAACTAGTTAATATATAGAACTATATCACTTAACAAAATAAGAATTATAGTTTACTTACCAACTGACCAGTTCTAGCTATTTGTGACAGTAACCAATCAATCAACACTTCAGTGCATATTATGCACTAAAACTGTCAATCATATTTCCCCTCGAGCTCCACTTCAAAATCTAATGCAGTGTTCCTCATCTGTTCATAAATGCAAATAATCCTCAATTGAAATTTACAGTGTATAGTGTAAAAGAAATCCCATAGTTGAAGTGCAGATAAATAATTATGTGACTGCATTAATAGTAAAAAACTATAAGCCATACCTTATCCACAACTGGCATGATCTAAAAAAAAACTAATACATTTACTCTCACACTTGCAATTGGATGTTCAGGCTGAGACATTCAATTTATGTGGAACAGTTAGCAAAAATAATTACGATGATAAACCAGAAATTAACCAACACATCTTTACGGATAAGAAACTAAATTCTTAGCAGTGTAACACACTTCATGGCCTTCTAGGGATAAAACCACAAACTCAACTCAAATGTGCCAACGATGGCCATTTTCCCTCTCCCCTTTAAAAAAGGGCTCATTTGTAGAAAAGGGGGCATCAGGCTGCTAGTAGAAGATGGGTGTGGATCGGTCATCAGTGAAGGTGGGCCGGAGGTAGACCTCCAGGGAACGATCACTGTGGGGAGAGGAGGGGTGAGACAAGGAACAGTGACAGTTAGGATGAAGACACGACAGAACTTACAGAGATATATGGTCAGCTAACCACACAGAAAACTGCCTTCCCATAGATTTGTTTCTTACAATGAGTTGAACAAACAGTAACAGTATACTGTGAGTTTTTAAGCAAGCATGTGATGATAAAACAAAAAAATGAGGGGAAAAATAACAAAAAGGTTTGCTATAGGCATGCATGCAGGGTTAGTTTTCTGTTTATGATATTGTGACAGACAAGACAATCTAAGTGAATTCCTTTACAACCCAAACCCCTACTGGACTGACAGAATATTTGCTGCCACATCCTTGGAGGCCAAAGGACAGTAAGACCAGTGATTCCCAGCAACCTACTGAAGCCAGACAGCCAATGACAGCAGCAAGAGAATCAGGCAGTAATAGAGAGAAGATAAAAGGAGAAAAGGGATTGGCTGAAAGGCGATGGAGGCTGGTGACTTACGGAGGTCCTGTTCCCTCAGAATCGGGACAATTCTGGACCCAAACTGGAAGGTAAAGAGAACCTTTGGGTTTGAATGGCTCATTGCTCAGATCATGCATGGGTCACATTTTTTCAACGACACTGCTGGTTAGTCAGATGCAATATGGACACAAGTGTAACTGTTAAATGTGATTAAAATAAGGGATGCAAAACAGAAGTACCTACTTCCATGCGAAACATGCCACATACTAGATGTTCATATGCTAAACTCTGTCAGGAAAAGTACCCGCAGCTCGCCTTGGTGTATTTTACTACCAATGCAATCAACAGGCTGCTGCTCTGAATATGGGTGTGAAAAAATCTGTGCATCATCACATCTATAAACCTACAATAAAATACTAAAAATCGGGAAAAAAGGGAGGCAGGCAGAGTTCACATACTCACAATTTGTACACAACACCACACACACACTGACAGTCTTTTGATTCAGTTTTTACAGTGACACAGAGAGCACTACAGAGGCTATAGGTGTTATGTGGGGCGGGATTAGGATGAAACTGCATGCTTGGAACACAGCTGTGGCCTGAAATGACTTGCACAAATGTCGCAGGTTTGAAAGAAAAAAAAATTAATTAAAACATTTAACATTTACTTTGAAACATGTAAAAAAATTCAAATTAAAAAATTACAAAACTGAGAATGTAATTGTCACTGACAGAACAGATTTCTCGTCAGACCAGATTGTTTATTAATATATAGAGATATGTTTTATTTAGAATACCTTTGTAAAAAGTCACCATACATTCAAGGTCAATTTCAGTATCACATTTTCTGGTTTTCCTCCACAGCATGCATAAGATAAACACTTCAACTAATCAGTAGTTTCTCGAAATATATATTTTTTTACAAGGACAATACTTTTTAAAAGAAAAGACCAAAAACTACATAGCCACTCAGGGAATACAATCATAAATAACACTGAGAGCTGCAAAAGCCGTGGTTGTCATTTAACCTAAAAACTAATTCACAGCTGTTATGGAGGATACTCAACAGAAGATAAAAGACCTTCCAAACTCACTGTAGCTCCAAAATAAATACCAGTGAGGCATTTTTATTTTTTCTTGAAATTTCTGGCAGTAAGCTCAGCCAAGAATGGCAAACAAGTTTCTGTGGGGCTAATGGTCGCCATTAAAAAAATCTTTTATATGAACACATGTTTTTTGCAATGATCATATTTCAGTGCAATTATGTGGACTGAAGGAAATAATATATAGATAGGAAAAAAAAGAAGCAACGTAAGGCAAATATGCACGCTCTCTGGACAGAAAATTAGCACTGACACAACGAAGCACAGCGCCACCTGCGGGATCTCTCACAACAGAAATATTCTGCTGCACAGCCTTACTTTGTAAAAAGCTATTTTTTGAGCAAGTGTTGTCGGGTGGGAACTCCATTATACTGGGCCCATGTGTGCTTAGAAAAGGCCATTCAGCCAGTGGCTTTAGTACAACGACATTGAAGTCTTGGCACTTGTACAGTACATGAACATGTCCTTTAGTTTGACAAATGACACAACCATGTACATGCATGAAAGACAAGCAGTAGCAAAGGCAGTCTCTTGAGAGATCAATCCGTGATGGTGGACTGTGATCAGAGATAGAGTATTCAGAGTCCATATCGCTGCATGCCGAGCAGGTGGGCCACCGCTCGGGCTCTCTCGCTCAACGCAATCCTCCACCCACCAACCGCTACTGTCCACACCAACATCACCAGCAGCAGCACCCGGGACGGACGGAGGAAGAAAGGAGGGACCCGAGGAGGAAGAGAGGACAGAAAGGAGGGATGAAACTGGCCTCTTCCACTTGGAGAAGGGGCGTGTGTGGAGGTAGAGGTGGAGACAAGTGGACAGGAGGGAGGCTAAGAGGAGGGAAAGATGGGGAGGAAGAGGCCCCCTGTGCTATCCGGAGCTGTCTGTGTCTGTCTGTATGTCTGTTCTCACACAGTCGAAATCAATTGCCATCAGGACTGTCACTGTGGAACAAAGAGAGGAAGGAAGCTTGCCAGGTCGGACACACTCAGAGGGAAAATGGAGAAAGACAAGACAGGTACAAGGAGACAGGGTAGAGTGTTGGTATAGGTGGGGTTTGGAAATCTACTTTGCCCCCACCTACACCTACTGCCTTCCAAACACCCCTACCATGATCAGGAAGATTAACTTCCACATTTCCTCATCAACAAATTTGAATCCAGATATGTTACGCTGGTTTTGAGATTACTGCCCATTTCATGCAGTTTAGTGAATATTTGTCACTGAAAAGTACTACTGTGTGTTGATGAGAAAATCCAAGTCATCACCTTAGCTGAAGGGACGTATGTTATATTAGTCTGGTGGGGTGAATACACCCTGCAGCACAGTGATGTCTCACAATACTGATACCAAAAACACATTCAGAGCAGACAAGAGTATGTATAACAGCTTGACACTGGGGCCGAAAAGCCCAGGCTGACAAGCAGTGATGGCTGAGATGAGATCAGCATGAAGTCTACTGTCACAACATGTACTCCAACAAACACCAATATGATTGCACATTGGCGATTTCTTTCTTTCTCTCTCTCTCACACACACACACACACACACACACACATTTATATACGTGTACACAAAGATGTACTCCCTGATTGGACAGAAACAAAAAAGTCACAACTCTGGTGAGTCAGCAAGGATTTGATAGGATAACGGTGAAAATATACTGAGCCACGAGTACTCTGGCAATAAACTAAGACACTGGTTCCCCTAGAGTGCAATTATTGCTTTAAAGAGATATTTAAAATATAAGTCAAGGTGAACATAAGAAAGGAGGAACGAAAAGAAGACAGATAGATCCCATGAGGTGGGGATGTTAACGCTACACCAAAATCCAGATCCCAACTATATTCCCCATTAGCTTTGAAATTCTTAGACAACAAATTAAATATACAACTCTAAAAAAAGAAATAGCGAACAATTTTGATAACAATTCTACTAATTTCTGTCTCTGTCCAATCATTTGTCTCTTGTTCTGGATCTGTATTTAGGGTTTGGACTGTTGGCCAGACAAAACAGGAAGGAATCTAAAGATGGATCCAAAGAAATTGTGATTGACACAAATACTGAAAAAAAAAAAATCGAATAATTGTAATGTACACTAATGTGGTTGATTGTTTATGTAGCATTTCATTTGATCTGGCTACAGTATGTTAAGCAGTTGCCTTGCTGTCTCTTGAGTGTTCCAGCATGCAGTTACTCAGGTGAAATGTTATTTATTTAAGGGTCTGCTTCTCTTCTTCTGATAGTCACTTCTTCCAAAGCTATCCAAATGAAATAATTCAGATGCTAGCAGCAGTCATATTAGTCATTACTAAGAAGGCAAGGTAGAAACAGCACTTACCTTGTGGGCAAAGCGGCCGTCATAATCCTCAATGGCAGGCTGAAAAGATAAGAGGTCAAATGTTTTACTTGTGTGCTTGTTGGCCTAAAATAAAAAAAACTGCCATACTTGCATTCAAACACTAGGCGGCAGCAGAAACTGAGCAAAAGTCCCCCTAACAGTTACTGCAGGATTACTCATATCTAATTATGCAACACGAGACTTAACCAGATGGGGGCTACAAATTAAGTGAGCAAGAGTAACAAGTGTGTGTGTGTGTGTGTGTGTGTTAGTTCATGGATACTACACATGTTAAATTGTTCCTACCTGTGTGCCGAAGGCTGCCATGCTGTAGGGGCGCGGGCGGGTCTGAGCGAGGCCTCTGTTGCAAGCAGTCGGGCAGTCAGGCCATAGTCCGGGTGTGGGCAGCGATGCATCACTCTCCAACAAGTTCCCTGTGCTGCTACTTTTCCCATGGTGCAAGCTGGTTAGGCAGGCAAAACAAAAAAGGCCTCAGACGAGGTCTCATTCTGGTTCATTAAATTGACACCAGGGAATGATGGAAAAATGCTACATACTTCACTTTGAGCTTCTCACTGTCACTTTCAGGCAGCACACGTGTGTAGGAGAATGGAAACCAGCCACGCCTAAACAAAGGGAACACCTTTGTTAAGCTCCTCATTCACTGGACCTACATGTGGAACAATATGTATGCAATGTCACAGTATGGACACAGGCAATGAACAATCTTTCACTTACATCTTGTTCTTCTCATTCTCTCATAGTGCCAGCCATCGCGGGCCTCAGGCACTAGCAGGGTGATGACGTCTCCCTCAGAGAAACTGAGCAGGGTGCCGTTGTCACCTGCAGCGTGGGAGAAGATGGCCTGGACACGGGAACGCCCGTTCTTTTCCAGGCCTGCTGCCATGGAACTGGACCTGGGCAGAGTCCGTGTCTCTCCTTCAGTGTTTGCAGACAGAGACAGTAGTCAGTGACATGAAATCTAATAAGAGTTCAGAGTACCAGATGCTCTGGGTAACTGGAGTCCGCAGTTATAACTAAAGATAAGATTGATGATATGTATTTTTTAGGCACTGACAGCAACCAGGCATTTGTTCTAAATTTAGCATTTTCTCATTGTGCTTCTGAATTGCATTTGTTACATCAATCCATCACTGCCAAATAACCCGAGTCTGGGATAATCACGTAAACAGACTAGATGATTGGTTGACTGTCTCATGCCAACATTTCTTGTAAAGGTGGCTTGAGTCTGTTGCTACCCTTCTCCCTCCTTTGTGACACTTAGAGCAGCAGCTATCAACTCCATCACTGTTCTTTAGCATAGACATTAGTATGTTTAGTCATAAAGTCGTATACCTAAGTATTTACGTGATATTAAAATGCTCCTCGCTGTATCTTTAAGCCAGGAATAGGTTTGAGCCACAATCAAATATTCCACTAGTGATTTTTTTAATAAGGTGTAGCAGTGTGCAGATATCTTACCCACGGGGTTCTTATTCTTGGCGGGGGCTGGCCTACGGACAGGAAGGGTGTTGGAGTAGACAATCGCTGACCTGTCTCTGGGGCTGGGCCTGGGCCTGGCCCGGGTGGCTGGGTCTGGGGGGATGCCGGCCTGACTTGGGACACGGATATAGTCCCCTCCGTCAGTCCAATATTCCTCCCCATGGGCTCCTGTTGTCCCATTTACCATGGACATACCATCAGGGCCAATCAGCCTCTGGAAACAACAAGCATATACAGAATATGAATAATAAACTGTGTAAATGGCATAACGTTGAAACTTGACCTGAAGTCTAGGGAGTGATCATCCAAGTGTGTCAGCTGATTGCTGCCCAGCATGACATGTAGACTAAACAGTGCAATCTTCCAGAACTGTAATTCAGTTCTCTCGATGAAGATAAGGACAGTTTCTGTTTAAGTTTAAACAGTATTTGCAGTTATACACACACTAAAAATGGACAGACATGAAATGTAAACAATACTGCCTTATGAACACAGGAGAAATCAAACCTTAATAATATAAGTATACATAAAAACATATTTGTATCACCCACGGATTTTCTTAACTCACCGCTTGGTGACCCAGGCCACCACTCATAAAAACAGCCAGCTCTGGGGGCACAGGAAGAGGCGTGGCCCCGGGGATAGGGTCTGAGATGACCAAGTTGGATTTGGAAGTATGGAGGGGGCTTGCTCCCCCAAGGCCTGCAGAGCCCATCTGCTGGGCCAGGAGCATGGCCCTCTCTGGCAGCTTGTTGGGGTCTGAGCAGGCCTGTTGCCACACTGGGATCTTCTGGGTCAGGAGGTCTTTACCCTTGAAGTAGGAGAAAAGATTGAAGAAACACAGACAAAAGTGATACATTTATCCATGTAATGTCTTTTATCTGGACCCTAGTCTGTAATACGTTTTGATTGATTGATGTTGCTGCATTGTGACCAGCGAGTTATTTTTTCTTTGTTGCATCTCCTTTTCTCCAAACAAAAAAACCCATTCAGTTCTCAAAGAGGTTTTTTTCCTCAAACTGTATCCTTGACCAATGCCCTTTGCAAAGCTATGATAATGTGCTGCGTGGGTGAGGGCAGTGGGACCAGACGAAACATACAACTCAGCTGCCCACTGCAGCTTCTCCACAGCCTGTGGACACGGCTGTTCTTTCCACCATCATAAGAAGTAAGGGATGATCAGCAATCAACACATTTGGTGTCTTCACCGTCTATTTGGCACATCACTACCAACACACACACTACACAAGCCACACACACACACAACACCACAAACACACACACACACACACACACACACACACACACACACACACACACACACACACACACACACACACACACACACACACACACACACACACACACACACACACACACACACACACACACACACACACACACACACACACACACACACACACACACACACACACACACACACACACACACACACACACACACACACACACACACACACACACACACACACACACACACACACACACACACACACACACACACACACACACACACACACACACACACACACACACACACACACACACACACACACACACACACACACACACACACACACAGCTAATAATGCTCCATTACATTTGATGGTATGACAGAGTGGAATATATTCAGATTTAACGGTTATTTGCTTTAAATGTCAGCAGCAATGTGGAAATATCAAGGAGGTATAATAAGTAAACAAAATGGGTGAGAAACAGTTTTTTTTCTTTGATTTCAACCCATCTTTCTCTAAATTCATCATTTCGATGCCTTTCGATGATCTGAACAAGTGAGGCAGTTCTCTCCACAAAAAGGTGACCAGACACACGAAGGGGGCCAGTGATGGATTACAGCTTCAGATGTGCCAGTCAGCAGGGAATTGTCTACAGTACTATTAATACATTTTTTAAATGAAGAGGCCCCTGTGAGCTGTGGAATAATGTGACTTGAATTATAGATTCTCCTATTATGTTCCTTTTGCGAACAAATGGTCCACATGTTGACAGTTAGGGGTAAGTAGGGCTAGAAATGACACAACAGCTCAAAGGGAATGAGTACAATTCTATAATTTGACCAACAAGCTCTGCACATGTGGCTTTTGTACAAAAAGGACAGAAAATGTGTTTCCCTGATTAATTGAGAGAAACAAAAGTAATGACAACCATGTTGAGCTCAATGCTGCGCACATTCAGAAAACCCATGCAGATAGACACAAAAACAGAACATGAAAATAGATTCTTTACCGACATTATGACACATGCACAGGACTTTAAAATAGCAGCGCTAAATAGATGAACACACTGCACAATGCTCAGAAATCAACAGAAACTGTTTCCAGGGGCAACTAAAAAGTGATGCACATGGCTACGACATGCTTGTTGTTGCCATGGTTTCCGGTTGATTAAATGATTGAAGTCGATTATCCGTCAGAGTTGTTGGAAATGTTAAAGACGATTATTATTCTAAGCATGATCACATGATTCAGATTTCATAATATGGCCAAAGGAAGATATCTGCAATGATTTCTGAATCATGCAATCAAAATGATATAATAATAAACATGTATGTATTCTTCTAAGACGACCTACAGGTCATCAAGATCAAACGCTACAGCTGTGTGCATCACTTTTTTATATTCCCCCGGAAACAGTTGTGTGTGTTTCCCTATTGCAGAGCTTTCTTCAAAGGATGTGAGGTGCATGGCTGTCGAATTGGTGAAGATGTTTAGTAGTGTCATCTCTATTTGCATGTGTTTTCTCAATACGCTTGGTTTGTTAAGCACTCTGGGCCACTGTTAGTCACTGCAAACACATGTTCGAAGAATTAACAAATCATTTAAGGAAACACAAATTCTTGCTGTATTTCAGATCATCTCTGTGCACAGCTTTATGAAAGGCCCTGAATAATATCAACGTAATGCTAGGAGCAATTCGAACCATATAGGCACACTATTATCTGTTAAGTTCAGACAGGTTTTCTCATTTCAAAAGAGATATTTCCTTATTTGCCTTTTCATCTTTTCCTCTTCCCATTGATTATAAGCGGGCAGGGCTCATTTGAAAAACCACAAAGTCTTGAAAACAATGAGAAGAACCGAGACAGAGCTACATTATGATCCAATAAATAGCAGGTGAAGGGCGAGTAGGTGTAGATGAGAAAGTGTCTTAATCAAAATATGATGACAGTTGGTGTTGTTTGCATCACTGTCAATACAATGTAATCAAAACCCACCCACGCTGTCCTGATGAAGCATACTGTATAAACTCAATAATCCATAGACATTATTTTCAGTATTTCTTTTGCTGATTGAGTCAGTAATCATTTATTTTCAGAGACTTTAAAGCAGCAGTATTGACTTGAAAGGCCATTTTTTGAAAATACGTTCATCTATTCTCCTGATATATCATTCACGTCTCTTCTTATAATTTCTTTATGGTAAAACAATATTCTTGGTGGTCATGTGACACTCACCTTGCCATGGTAGGCGCTGCTGTTCTTGGCCACGGCACACTGGCGGTCAACCAGGAAGCAGTATCTGCGGCGCTCCTCAGACAAGGCTGTCTTGTATCCCTCAGCGATGAAGGTGTCTAGCTCCGTCTGCTTACTGCTGATGGTATCCACAAACTGGGAAAAAAACACACAATGAAACATGAACTTTAGATACAATATCTACGGATTAGTGCAAAATAAATCACAACATACTGGTGTTTGTATTAAAAGATCGACAAATACTTTATGGTTACTGGTACACCGAAAGTCATCCACAGCTTAATGCCATACAGATTGAGAAGGTAAGGCTGATGGACAGGAGGTCTGTCGAGAAAATGGCCCCATCTCATAACATTCATAACTTTAAAAAATAAGACCCTGCTTAACGTACAGACAATTTAACACATTCACACTAAGGAGCTGCTCAGTCCAGCTCTGTGTTGTACTGCCAATCACTGCACATCTCCGATGGAGCAATTAGGGTTTAAGTGCACCCTGGTGTTACAGGTTGTGTGAGGAGAAAAGTCTTACTCAGCAACTTTCTCAGGCTAGGTTTTTCCTCCAGAGTGCTAGTGAGACAAGGCAATTACAAATCCTCTTTACGTGTCAGACAATAACACATGATAGGTTGTGTTTATGTATAGTTTAAGAGTGAGAAACAGAGACAGAAAGGGAAGGAGATCCAGCGCTGATAGTTTATCTTAGCCTGAGTCTCTATAGTCTATAGGGAAATGTCTCAGAGAGTTCACTGACCAAACTCTCACAAAATGTTAGTCTTAATTAGAATAGGGAGTGACATTTAGGTGTTTTGTCAACGTGTAACATATGCCATGTGTGCAAACAGTAGAGTTTGCATGGTGATAGATGAAAGTTTTAGAAAGTAGGTTGACTGCGTTCAGTTTCATTGTTTAATAATGTATCATCTGCCGGTAAAAATGTGCATAAAGACAATATTTGACCTAGAATAACTCTTTCATTCAGGAATGGGGTTTCATGTTTATTATGTCTATTTATATATTTATTTATTATGTATGTATTTAATATCATATCATCCAAAATCTGATTTGTTGTGGACTCCAGTCCCCCTTCCTTATTCGGGAAATGGAAAAGACAAACAGCCTAAATATAAATATTACAATTTTTATTTCAGTCTGTGCCGTTGGAGAGAATCTTTGTCCTAATTCCTCAGGTTTGGTTTTCTTAAAGTACCAAAGTACATTTTAGAACACTTTTTATTAGATTCCTCAAAGGTGAAAGATGAAAAGGCTAATGTAATGTGTTAAGTCTGAGTGCTGTGGTGCCACCACACAGTGCAGCTGCATCCCATTTAGTAGCCACCAAAGACATACTTCCCCACTGCCAACATCCACAAGATTAATTCATTGGGATTTCAAGTCTGGAGGAATATTTTGGTGACTAAAGGATATTTTAAAGAATACATACAGCTACACCATTAGCAAATCCAAAAAGTGAAGTTGTCAAATCCAGCAAGACAGGGATGAAAGGATGATGAACGTATTTTTTCTCCTGAGAGCAGCCTGACCTTATTCTGTTCTTTCTGTGCACCTTAAACTCAAATTAAGTGCTTTGAAACAGGTTCAGTGAGTACCTCAGTACTGGCACAGCAGTTCAGTTAAAGGGCTGACTGCACCTCAACAAGGTAAAGGGCCTGCTCCTGTTGTCAAATCCATATGGCACAATTTCCCATCCATTCAAAAGGTCAACAAAGTAACCCAAGACAATGAGCGTGCAGTGGGAAAAGCCAAAGCAGACACCATCTCCATTATATCTGAGCGACCTCAGGTTACATCATAGCTGGTATGACTTGCTCTGCAAAGGTTATTAATATAAAGAAACTTGCAACACATCCATGCAGTTCTCACATTCAGACTTTCAGCAGAGCCGCCCTCCCTGTGTATCCCCTTACACTGACATAATGAGGACAGGAGAAACCCTGACACAAATATGACATTTTTGCACTGAACACTAATATAGCATCCAGTAATTACAAGTACTGGGAAAGGGAATTCACACCCTTCAAAAAAGTGAAGCTTGTTATGAGCTGCTTAGGTCTGCTCTTCTGTTCCTTCATCATCAGCACTCTTTGGAAATCAAAATGATTGCATTGTATCGCTCCAGGGTACAAAACAAAAAAGCACCTTCAGTACCTGCTTGAATCTGCTTGTTTGTCAGTGCTAATCTACTGCACTTGCACATAAACAATAGCTTTTTCTGCTTTTGTATGAATCCAGGTTGGAATTGCTTTTCAATTGTATGACACCAAGCGGGATAAATTCACAGCTTAATCAAACATTTCCAGATATTAATTCTGAATCCTGACCTCTGTTCTTCTATCTCCGTCTGAGCTCTTATTCACAGCCTGGGCATTGTAAAGGATTGTATCTAGATGAAAGCCCTTTCTACTAGTACCTTGGTCCACTCCATTGAACTACATAATGAGCTGATTAGCATTTTGGCAGGGTCTGTACCCATTGATGAGATGGCACAGTGAAAGAGTCTGTAGGCAAAGGGAGGACAAGCAGGGGAAGATAGAGAGACAAAGAGACGGACAGAGAAGTGGGAGAGCAACAGTGAGCAGTGGGAGAGAGAGAGAAAGGTAGCGAGCGATCAATGAAATGCAGCCGCCATCTGTGGCCGCTGCCGGAGTGCGCTCAGACACACTTTACTTTTGAATGAAAAGAGAGGAGATAAAAAAGAAACTTGGTGCTGCTCTCATCTGCTAGAATAACACAGATGTGGTGGAGGAGGAGGAGGAGGAGGAGGAGGAGGAGGAGGAGGAGGAGGAGGAGGAGGAGGAGGAGGAGGAGGAGGAGGAGGAGGAGGAGGAGGAGGAGGAGGAGGAGGAGGAGGAGGAGGAGGAGGAGGAGGAGGAGGATGTTGATTTTGCCATAGCAACTTTACTTGATCAACTACCTTGTGCTGCCAGAACCCATCTCTGTAAATACTCCTGGACCCACATTGGTGTAGTCGGTCACTTTCTATGTCTCTCTAGATGGATGTCATTGTTTAAAACACAGAGTCTTGAGGGAGGGCTCTCTTCCTCTCCGTGTGTTGCTCTCCCCGGGGGGGTCTGATACAGGACTTGACTTTTTACTCACACGCCCACAGCTGTGATATGATCAGTGAAAGGGAGCAGGCTGAAAATGAGAAAAGGAGATTGATTTTTCTTTCTCTGCTAACTGACTGTGTTATGAGTCCTGTGCCTGATGCGCTCCCTCCTCTGAGCAGATGGGCCCAATTGATCAGTCATACAGACTCACTAAGAGTCGCAATGTCCAATATGCACATGGTGAAATTGCTATAGAGGCTTCTACTTGTTGCCACAACTTTTTTATGCTGCAGCAAATATTGGCTAAAAAACATGATATTATAGAATCAAGATATTTTATGTGGAACAGTTTTACCTATGGATAAAACCGCTATCTCTAATGGCCCTTCAAGACAAACTTGCATCACTACTCATGAGCCTTTAAAAAATGTAAAATTATCACTAGGTCCAACACATTGCTTCTCACCTATGGGCCACTAATATGGATTTATACCTTAACGTAGTCGTTTTTTTTTCAATTATTTTAGTTTCATACTTTCCGAATGGTTTGCAATAAAGTTAATCCTGCATTCCTGTTTCTGTTCATTACACTTTGCTACACCCTTCCTTACAGAGATCTAATTATCAAACACAAGAGGCATTCAGGAACATGCAACAACTTGCCATTCTTGACAGAGACTTACTGGCTTAGTAAACTCAAACAGCCCTCCCATCCCAAGCCCTGCCTCCTGCAAAACTGGACTACTGCACAAACTTCTTTGACGCCTTAAGATGACACTTCATGCAACATCTCCACATGGCATGATGGCATCCCTAACACAGTGGAACAAACTCAATGTGACATAGCTGTCAGATCAACCCTCACTGTCATACCAACCCCGACAGGCAAGTCTAAAGGTCTGTGTGTGTATGTGTGGGATTGTAAAAACTCACAGAACTCTACAAAACATAGCATCCCTAAGTGAAGGTAAAAAATGTGTTTCTTGTGCAGTTATTGATCGGATTCTGTCATGGGCAGCCACACTTAACAATGAGAGCAACAGCAGCTGAGTTATTACCCTGCAAGCCTGTTTGCTTTTTGTTCTCGCCCCTCCAGGTTGTCAGACTTTCTGCTTTGAAGGAACTCATTATGAAGGAACAGCCGTCACACTTTGTCATTGTATTCTCATTTTGACAGTGACACTGGCGAAAGGACAATAGAGTACATGACTTGTAAACATTAGCAACATTTACCGCAGTGAAAGCAAACAGTAAGGTTTAATACACACCGAGATGCTATTTGTGTGTCTATGTGGAGAAATACAACCGTCAGTACTTCCCCTGTCAAGTAGGCGGTCGAGAGATGAAAACCTAATAAACGAAAACTAATTAAGTTATGTCCACACCGAGGGTTCATTGCAACTCATCAACATTCATTTCAACTGAGCTGCTCTGTAGGGAGGTAGCTTTGCTATGGAAATAATCACAGGAATGATGATGCCCAAAGCAAACACTGGTTCCCTCGGAGAATCATGCCACTGCCCCGGTTTGACATAAAACCATTTTGACAAGTTGTGAATGTTTGCCAACTGAATCTGTAGCGAAACATATTTGATACAAAAGTTTGAACAATGTATCCATATGCAGTGAAGCAGTTACATAAGCTCACTCCAAACACCGAACCACCTTTACCAAAATGTTATATATTGACATGGTTTTTGTTAATAAAAACACACTTAAACTCCTAAACAGATTTATCAATTTCTACAGCAGATTCCAAAGGCATAATATATTTCACATGACTCTCAGTGTCAACCTTATTAAAAACCGGAAGTTCTGCCCTAACAAACAGACATTTAAAAATATAAAAACAGAACAGAAGGATTCTCAATGATACTAAACACACATACTGTATGTTTCTTATATAAAGTCTAAGAAAATTGTGATATTGTTAATAGTCTTAGCGTATAAGTAATGTACACTTTCTGTACATCGTAGAAACTGTACTATTGACAGAGGTAAATGCATATCAAATACTATACTAAATACTAATACTTTTTACATCAATTATGGTTTTATTATCATCTTAAATCTCTCTTTAATATGTTTTTCTACGTGGCGTATGTGTGAAAGATTGGCACGGACACACACTTTATAATCAAACCTCCTCTATTTTGCCTTCCCACTCAGGGCAACTCGTCGCCACTGCCTCCACCCCCAGCCTTGCTGTTTTTCAAATTCACTTTACTTTATGTAGAGAAAAGTCATTTCTTTGCACCAAGACTCATACATATATAATCCAACATTCACCCACATGCAAGCATTCTCTCCTTTTATCTTCTTCAACAATAGCCCTTCACATTTGAAAACATTTTTAACAGTCCAATTTGAGATATCTTCTTCCTAATTGTTTAATTCTGAGAATAAATAGCTTTTTGTGGAAATCCCCCAGCAAGACGCTCACCTGCATCTCCTTCTCTCCGTACTTGGAGGGGTTCTTGCTGCCCTGGCTCTTCCTGCGCAGCTTCTTCAGTTCGGCCTGGCACTTCTCCAGACTTTCCCCTTTGTTCTTGTGTTCCAACTGGTATTTCTTCAGGGCAGCCTACATGGGGTAACAGGCAGAGCACAAACACACATTTAGGACAACAAATGAAAAAGCCTGAGTGGCAGGTGGTGGGATATAATTGAGAAAAATATGCAGCATTTCTGCCAACCTATTTCTGAAGGCTTTTATAGATTCAATTAATTTCACTACAGTATGAAAAAACATCTCACAGGGTCTTGAAACCAGCTGTATATACTTCATTTACAGTTGTTAAATTATTTCTGTGTGGAATTGTTTTGAAAGCTCCTTCTTGGTGTGTTCAAGAAGGCTCCGTCATCATAAAGCAATCTTTTTAATCAAAGAAACACATTTCACAAGATTATTTACAAGATGTTTTGTTTTTTGCTTGGTTTTGCAACAACTCAGCTCCTGATGGCGTCTTTTAAAACATCCACTGTTAGTTTCTTCTCATCCCAAAAAACAGCCTACAAAGCTAAACGCTAAATGTGTGATTTGCAGAACAGGCAAAAACAACTGGCCTAATCCTTTTACAGCCTGAGGTTTTTATTTAATTTTTTTTTAATTCATTTAATTTGCTTATTTATTTATGGAGAATAACAACTTTGTTTCTGGGCTGAACCAGCTCTGTTGCCACGGCAACAGTGTCTGGTGCGACAAAGCTTGTGTGGTTTCTGCACAAGGCAGAATTGGCTTAGGAGAGCTCGTGC